GAGGGAGGGAGGGTGAGGGAGGGAGGGTGACAGGCAGACACATACAGTGGCATATGTTGACACAGACAGATAGAGAGCAGCAGCTTGAACACAGAAATGCAATACATGTACAAACACATGTACAAACACATCCAATTAGGGTGAGGGACTGAAGAAGACTGAAGCTGTAACTCAGGAGATATATAGCTCTGCCCTTTTAGGTGTGGAATTCCCAGGGAAAGGCAGAGGGAAGAAGAGAGATGGTGTCCGCACTGTGAACTTTAATTACGCACTCTTTCAAGCTGCATTTGGACAGCTAATCCCCTGGCTTCCCTCTCTTTGTGGACACAGGAGGAGAGGAGCTAGGTGCTCCCAGGCTGCAGTCTCACAGGATGGCAGAGATAACATCAAATGGTGCATTGGCTAGTCATGTACAAGCTGTGTATGCTCCTATCCTACTTAGTGCCTTCAAAATGGGAGCGTTGCAGACTGTCTATAGTCCTATGGCCTTATGTGAGGATTGTGCCAGTTGTTTGATTACTAGGACCTTATGAGAGTGTCAAGAATTGAGTCAACTCATAAAATCTAAGTTGTTGGTCTCGTAAACAAGAATACCGTTGCTTATTATCATCCTTAATGCATCCCCACTGTACTGTGTTATTGAAGATTGCCCATTGTAAGATCCATCCCCAGCAGGACACATTAATGCCTATTAACACAGTAACACAATCATAATATAACAAGCATTATTATTCTGATTGTGTATTCTAAGTCCACTTAGCCTTGAAACTGGGTATAGGCTTTGGTTAAGTGGAGTAAATAGGACAGATAATGTGACCTGAGTGAGTGACTAGAATGTTGCAATGAATGTGGCACTAGATCCATCTATAGGTGTGTGACCAGGTCACTGTGTACCGTCTGTGTGTATGTGCGTGTGTGTGTGTGCGTGTCTGCCTACATGTTGTAAGTTAGCATTAGCTAACACGCCTGCTCTCTGGGAGGGATGCCATGGTAATCCTCTGTTCGGCTCACCATCTCCCCCTCTGTCTCTCTCTCCCTCTCTTTCTCTCTGTCTGTCTTTTAGTTTTAGCGCCTGACAAAATGAGGTCTGGAGTGTGTGTGTGTGTTTAGAGGTGTTGCTGGGAAAAGGTCTTGGCCTCAGCAAGTCAGGAAACTGGGTGACAAACCTGACCACACACTGGCTGTGGGCATGTGTGTGTGTGTGTGTGTGTGTGTGTGTGCGTGTGTGTGTGTGTCCATATCTGTGTATGTGTGTGTTTGTGGTTTTTCATATAGAACCTGTTTAACTCATGACACCTGCTTCAATGAGGTAGATTTATTTACAGCTTAAATATATATCTTTTTTTTTTAATATTTCTTAATTTTTTCTATTTACACCTAGAAAAAGTCATATATACTGTTCTATATATACCCTAACCCTAACCCTAGTATGCAGTATAACCCCTAATACCTATTGTGAAGTACATTCTTTTCCAGTCCACATTATTATGTGAATTAAATATATTATATAATATATATAATATAATACATTTTTGCAATCTAACTAGAACATCTGGGGGAAGATTAATATCTTTCAAAAATTTTACATAAAATACAGTAGAGTACAGATTTTCTGTGCAGTAATACAATATGTTCTGTTTAATCACAAGCCCTATAATGAATATTGCCATATTAATCCCAAACATAAGTAAGTACTGTATGTAAGTATGAGCAAGTATTTTTGGATCAATGATTTTCACAGCTTAATCTCCATTTGGTTTTATTGAGTTTCACATTTTGTTTCACTGCATAAAGTAAAATGTATTATTTGTCTTATGCCATTAGTCAAGAAAGCAGGATGATGATAATCTATAATTATTTTTATTTTGTTAATTGCAGCCTCTATTCTGAAGCTCACTATTGAGCTTGATACAAAATGTGGGGAAATTATTTTGGATATCTGCTAAGGAACTCGTGGTGGAAGTAATGTCCGGGTTATGTGTCTATTGTTTTTATTATGCAAGTAAACAAAGACTTTCATACTTTCTTCTCTGCTGATCTCCTCCCTTATATTGTTGTTTATTCCCCTCTTTGTCAGTCTTTTATCAAATGGCCAAATGTCTGTTTTTTTGCTCTTTGACACTGTTGGCACGACTTGGGTAGTGCTGACCCACTTTTTGAAATGTTTACAGTTATTGTTTTGGGCTATCTGCAGCAGGCACATTGATCTATACATTTTTTGGTCCTGAAAAACAACAAACAAACGGCCAAACGAATGGCAGCCAAATCTGGGTAGACAGTAACTGTTACAGATGAGTCTAATCACCTTAGCAGCAGCTTCAACAGTCCCCATCTCTCTCTCTCTCTCTCTCTCTCTCTCTTTTCACCTCTCCTATCTCAGTCTCTCTTTCAATCTGTGTGTTCTGGTTGTATGTGACCATATGCATGCATGTGCATTTTGTGATTGTGAGTCAGCGCGTGCCTGTGGGTCATATTGTATAATGTCCGTGTGTTATGGTCGTTTTGGTCAGGGGTCCTGCACCTTTACCTCTATCTGCAAATGGACAACTGAAAACATAAGTGTCTATTCTGACTCTGGATGAACAACACGCACACCCTTTGAAATACATACACACAGGCCAGCAGCATTTGTTGTAAGAAAGTGATCTCTGCATATCAGGAATTAAAAGAGTATTGTACAGTCATTCATGGATTACACCGTCCTATCCGTGGGTCTGATTGGGCCAATTTAGAGTAGGCCTGTCGCATGTTATTTTTATTTACAACAGATTTTCCTTTTCACATTAAGCACTTTTTGGTGCTGCCGAGTTAAAGCTCCTATTTACTACGTGCTGTAAATATCCATGATGCTTAATTTTTGAAGGTTGAAGGGTACCTTTGGTATTTTTCAACCTGGACCTTATTTTCCCATGTTTTTGTGACAATGTGACCAAAAGTGTGTTTCAATGGACGTATTTTGGAAGTGCGCAATTGCCCGCAAGGCAGCGCTCTCACTTAATACCGGATTAAATACAAAACTGGAAGTTACCCTTTAAGCCAGGTGATTGATTGTACCGTAACTTCTCCTTGAGCTCTGATGAAACAGTTCATTTCACTTTATTTTAACCTTCAAACCATAGGAAGTTCCGTTTTATCCGTTTCCAGTCCTTAATGTTTCTTCACATTAACAATCCTGACAGAGTAGGTCAGATTATATAACTATTGAAATAATGTTGGCTGACAGTTTGGCAGATCTCTGCAGGTATTCTTTCGTGGTGCTGTTATTTTGTTCAACCAGATTTCATTGGGACTCCATCCCTCCATGTATCCAACCCCTGTTTACATTTTCCAAATGTAAATGATGTGCACACAGATATCCTCACAGTAATGAGAGGAAGTTACAGCCCGAAATAAGCAAACCAGTGAGATACAATATGTTAATTAGTGAGGTTAAAGGTCTGGTAGGCAGATTCTTGAAAATGTTTTAACAGAGGCAGGTTAGCCATTCTCACTCTGTACTTAACACACAGAAATGAGATCTTATCGTCTAACTCTGCCAATAAGAGTGTAAACTGTCAAACTATTTTTTTTAATTCAAGTTTTATTATTTGTAGCATTAGCTTGATCATAAAATCACTTTTTTTGCACACTAGCCAAGGCTAATATTTCCACTCTCCTCTTAAACAGCTTGTGTTTCACTTCTTGACCTTGTTGGTGCTGAATACAGAAAGAAACCAGACAAATTATTGATTTACACAAGTTTAAACCTGTTTCAACCTCACTGAACCGCCTGGTATTTCTCTTTCTCCCTGGCTCTTCATCCCTTGTCTTCTTCTCTGCCCTCCACTTCTCTCCTCATCTCCGTACCATGGATGGGTAGGGTAGTTATCAGGCTCGGCCAGCCCAAGCCCAGCCCTCGTACCTGACCGCTGCCAGCAGGGAGCGGCTGCTCTTGCCTGAGTATCTCCGACCACAACAGCACCCAGGGAATGAGGAAATCAGGCTAGAGTAATCTATGCAGGCCCAGAGCACGCTGGCCAGCACGTGAGTGCATGGAGTGTGTGCATTTTGTGAGTATGCATGCGCGTGCTCAGGAGCCCGCCACTTCTGCAACATCCGGCTATAAATCTATTGTGACACGTCAAACTGAATTTATGAGCCAATCTGCTTGCGACAGACATGTTTGATTTGAAAAGGGAAAGGAGGATGGAATAAAAAAAATTTACTACTGAGAGTGAACTTCTTCTTTGACACTTAGAGCTGAATATTTCGTAGAAAATGTACCATTCTCATATACAATGTTTAAAATGTTTTAGCCTATAACCTGTAACTTACTAATAAATAATAAATAAAGAATTTTAACAATAAATAAAGTATACATCTTAAAATAAAGTCTGTAGCTCC